ATGATTACGGCATCCCTCTTCATAGTTCGAATCGTGAGAACATGGAAATAGAAATATTATAGCAAAAGACTGGTAAAGTATCATGTCGTTGTAATATTCGACTGTTCTAAAATTTTCCAAATGCCTAGGGCATTAAGAGGGTAAAAGGACTAGAATCAGATTTGACTAAATTAGTTAAACAGCTGTCAAGGATAATCTAAGGTTCGCCAAGGATTGGTCGCTTGTGAACAGTTGGAAGTATAGTAATGGAAGGACCATATTGACATTATTATTATTAGAAATGATTCTATTAATAATGAGTTGTCATATGGCAAAAATGAAATGTTTCCTTATTGGGAGTTGGACGTTAAGAGTTTATGTCCAGATTAGAAAAACTTTTATGCAAGAAGGATGTTCAAAGGAATGTACTTTGAATGCGAGACTTCATGTCTATGGAATTGTCTTGTAACAATCTCCAATAGAGCTTTTTGTAATTTCATTGGCCGAGTCTTGATGACTTTTGTGTCGTGATATTACGAAAGGACCGTTGCATAAAGTGTTAGAATCTAACATATTCTATAAGTGGCAAGAATTTGGTATTCTTACACTTGTGGTAAGGATTGGGAATTGTAAAATGAGTGTGATTGAAAATGTTATTCAATTATACTATTTCTCAAAGTAAGGACCATAAGTAAACATAGTGTGCATGCTAAGAGCATGGGACAATTGTCGTTATAATTCAAGTAAAAAGTTGACTACCCGAAACAACAAATAATAAGTAATCAATATGGTGATTAAATAAAAGTGTTTTTTATTTATACTCAAAAGTTTGGGGCCATAAAAGATTAATATTATTCTTGTGTTTCAATTTGCATGTTTTGACTTCCTAAATAATTGAGTTATTTGAGAATAATCGAATTATTTGAACGTTCCACAGTCGCTCATACTTTGGGAGTAGGTATGAAAGAAGATTGTCATGAATTGGTGTGTAGATTGTCTAAAGTGTATTAGACATAGCAAAAGTTTGCTACAACGTTCATGAGTGCTTACGAATATGACTTGAGCATTGGATTAAACCCACGCTCACTTGGATCGCTTCATGGATTTTATCACGAGTGATTGGTGAGACGATAATATCTTATATTTTTAAAACCGAGATGTGTGAGTTGTATCTTGCGAGTCGGTTATACATTGATAATATGTAAACGCACCAGTAACTTGGTGTTATAAAACGTATTGTTGTTGTGTGTGATTCGGTGAGTGAGTACAAGCGAGCATTGAGTCGAAGTTTATCCATTCCTTTTACCCAAAGTGGGATAAAAGCGATATCTGTGGGCCTCTCGATGATTTAGTGATGACAAAGGAAAGTGCTCGGCCGGGCCAGGACTGATTTGATTTGTTCAATTAGTCAGTTGTCATAAATCGGAAATCAGGAAACGACACATAGACTGAGAGAATAATTTCAATCCATGTCTCACGTCTATATGATATCTAGAATGGAGGAATATATGATCCCTTGTCTAAAGGACGCGTTTCTGATAAGATCATAGTTGACAGCGGCTTTTGAAAGCTACGATTGCAGATCAGGATCTGAAGTCATACGCAGAATAGTTATTAGACTTATCCAAGTGGGAGACTGTTGGATTAGTGTCTAAGTCCATAACTATTTTGGTATGTACTTGACCCGATGGTGCATGGTCCTTTTGGGTTGCCTTCACCAAAGCAACTTGATAGGATGAATTATGGAGAGAGAGGATTAGTTATGATTTATTAATATATTATGAGAATAATATATTAAAGGAGAAATCATATTGTTTAGTTAATATTAGTCAATAATTAATTAAGAATTAATTTTGTGGCTAAAAGAGATTAATTAAACTTAGGGGACTAGAACTATCAATTGTGTGATAGTTGAATATTGGGCTAATGGACTCCTTATTAGAGGAGTGGACGAATTCTATGGGGAAACCCATTAGAAATCGTCCAAGGCCTCTAAAGGAGGAGTCCATGGGTTGCTTAGGGCCTAAGCAGTCAAATTAGGGTTTCCTTGTTAGATAACCCTAATAGCCTCACTATTTAAGGACCCCTAGGGCACCAAAAACGTGGCTAAGAGTTTCCTTAGGGGTTCTAGACGTTTTTGAGTGCCTCTCCTCTTCTCCTTCTTCATCCTCTTGCTCTTGGTGTTTGTGAGCCATTAGAGGAGTGACATTTGTGACTCTAAGCTTTTAGAAGCCAATTACAAGAAGGAATTGAGATTGTTATTGCTACATAACAATCAAGGTAAGATCTAAACCCTAATTCATATTTGATTTGATTATCATATGCTAGATCTAGGGTTTATGGCTTTGGATGATTATTGCATGTTCATTAGACAAACTAGATCCAAAGCTTTAGGGTTTGCATGTACACCATAGGAATGATGTAGTGCTCATAACCCATCATTATCGACCACTACGACTTTCATTTAGATCACTTAGGCTAAAAAACTATTTATCAAAAATTTACCTTTTACGATACGTAGAATCGTGCCAGTTTAATTGTGAAACTTTGAAGAATCATAACTTTTTCATACGAAGTCAGATTTGGGTGTTCCATATATCTACATAAATCATATCGACATTTCCTCTATGACAATTATTTTGGCTCAAGAGTAATATTTTCTACATTGAATTTTATAAACAATGGTTTATATTGAATCCTACGGAACGGTAAAAGTGAGGTGTTACACATTAGGGTTTATGCATGTTAGGTTTTTTTGTTCATTGTATGTTATCTTCAAAGTGTTATGACATAGATATTTATAGGTTGCATGTACCCTTTAATTGTTAAATGATTTTCCGCATATACATGTATTTATAACCTATAAAACCCATCAGTCCAGCCCTGTGTTGTAGGCTTGGTGTGCATGTATTATATGTGTATTGTTGTGTGGGGTATTTTGGGGGATTAACTAAGCTTTGTCTTATTGTTGTGAATTTAAATGTTTAAAGTACTTTTGAGAGATACTATGATTTTGATACTCTGATTTTATGATATGGTTATGAAACAATGGTTTGGTTATTTATGTTTTATGGAAAAAGGTTTATTCTCTTTTAAAAATACCAAAAAATATGGTTTTTGGGACGTTACATCATGTTTATGTCAATTATAGCATTTTACTTTCATTTTTTAATTATAGCATTTAACTTTCATTTTGATGTCATTATAGCAATTTACATTCATATTTTTTTTGTTTCAGTTATATCATTCAACTTTCATTTTGATGTCGATTATAGCATTTTACTTTAATGGTTTTTTCAATTATAACATTTTATTTTTTTTAAAGTCGATTATAACATTTTACTTTTTTTTCTATTATATCATTCAACTTCCATATTAATTTTGATTATAACATTTCACAATTGTTTTTTCAATTATGGCATTCAATAATAATCTTAATGTCGATTATAGCATTATACTATCATTTTAATCATAATTATAGCATTTTAATTTCAATCATAATAGTTTTTTTAATGTAAGTTATAGCATTTTAATATCATCTTAATGTCCTTCATAGCATTCAACTTTCATTTTTATTGTCGATTATATAGGGTTTTACTTTCATTATATAGGTTACTTTCATTTCTTTTTCAGTCCTAGCATACAACTTTCAAGTTAATGTCAATACAACATTTTTATTTCATTTCTAAAGTTGTCATTTTAATATTTATCTTTCCAGTGAAGATAGTGTGAAATGATTGATGACATCTTCTTGTCTTAACAAATTGAAAAGCATAACAATATTTACTTGAACAATCAGATGGAATACCCTTTTGGTTAAAGTTGATTTTGTTACCTCTTATTTTACTTTGGTTGCTTTCAATTGATCATAATTTAAACAGAACATATGTAATCTATTAGCTGCTCATCTCGGTCTTATGATTGATTTCCATATGGGTTCTTTACATTTCATTTTGAAAATTTCTTATTATTTATTGTAACTCCATATCAGTTTGATTTTGAATTCTAATTTATTCGTTATTTACTCTCTTAATCATGATCATGAGATGGAAACTAAATTGTATACTCTGTGTATTTGGTTCCCTTAGCAGCTTAGCCCCTTCAAAAATTTTATAACAAGTTACTTATTATGTATTATTTATACTATTTTAAGTTTTCAACCATGTGTTAAACGAGTTTTAATCTAATGTGTGTGTATATTAATTTGAGTTATCACATCATTATCACAAAATCTTGACACTACAATTCATGTCTTACATTTATTTTCGGCTGCCAATAAATGCTTTATAAAGCAAATTTTTTTGAATCATACATTGCAAATATCATGGTAAAACTCGACATATGCATTGATTAACTACTTTTTTTGGAACCGAATATATATATATATATATATATATATATATATATATATATATATATATATATATATATATATATATATATATATATATATAGAGGAATGATCATTTGAGAACTCATAGTTTCCCGAGAACTTGAGAACTAAAAGTAGAGCGTTGGATAAAAAAAAGGATGGTCAAGATGCATTGTGACATTTTTGTAAATACATAGACAAAATAAGACAGGGGGGTATGTTTTTAAAATGAATCCGGGGCATTTTAGGAATCAAATATCTCTTTTAATTCCCCAGATTAAATATCTCATTTGCATCTCTCTCTCTCTCTCTCACACACACACACACACACTCACGTTGTCTTCTTCACCGATTCACCCATCTGCCCTAGATCGACCTCAATCACCATCGGTTTCAATCATCAAGTATGCCGATCTTCCCTTAAAATCACCATCGTCTCCACCACATTGATCTTAGTTCTGTTCATACACAAAATCGTAACCCTAAAATCATCAGGTTAGATGATCCACCATTAATGAAATCAAGAAGGTAGTAAAGGTGCCTTTCCTGATCCAAATTGGATCAACAAAATGTGCGTTGTGCATCTCCGAGCTAGGCATCTGCAGATCACTGAAACGGCAATCATCACCCCATCAGTTGATCGCCTTCCTCATCGCCTCCGTTCCGTCTCCATCGATTGACCTTGTTTCCGATCAGATTTGGAAGAGGAGATTAACAAAATGAACTCTAGTGGTTGACAATGGAATTCGTTCCAATGTACGGATATTCGCACAACAATCGGTTCTAATTTTTCATTTTATTTTAATTCTGCCATTAGTATATATACGATTTTACACTTCAGAATTACCTATTCTGATTATGTTCTTGTTTGAATTGAAATTTTTGTTTTGTCTTAGAGTTATGATGCAAAAACATGCTTTGATTGATGTAAAATCTAAAATCATTGAATAATACAGGCTTCATTATGGCAATTATCAACAATATGAAGGTGCGATTTAGCATTCAAGGATTCAGTTATTCTTGAAACATTCATCGGTCAGAGGTAACTAATATTATTCCATCTCAATTTCGTGGTTAAGCTTGTTTTTATTCAGTGTCATATTAGTTGCGAATTTTAGAATTATAGTGTTATTACTAGTTAATAGTTAATAGTAATAATAATATCATGGAAATTAATCTCTGAAGTGTAATTTTTTGCTGTTGACCTGCAACAGCAGCCATTGCTGATGCAGCTTCTCTTCCCAAAATTGCCATGTTGGATTTCAGATCAAGTTTCATAAGGATGTCTGGATTCCATGTTCCTTCTTTTACTCTTGCTTGTCTTTTAGAAACTTCAACAGCCTACAAATTAAGATAATGTCATTAAATAATTTACTTTTTTTATCCATTAAGGAAAAAATCATTTATTAAAAAGAAAAATGGAACACCTGTACTTCAGCCTCTTGTCTCATTCTATCATATCTTTGAGCAAGACGACGAGCATCTTCTAGTGGAGCTCCCATTACCATTGATCTTACTGGCTCTGCCACCTGTTCAAGATTTGAAAAAACTTTCTATTTTTAGCTTTGTACTTTAACTCTTTCTATTTTTATAACACTAATTTGAAATATCTACACAGTTACATTTGTATAATAATGGTTTGTATTAGAACCTGAGTCCCAAATGATTTAAGCAGGTTTCCTCTTTCCTTATCCATTAAAGCACGAGCAATTGAAATGTTTTTTGCAGCTCTGGATAGTGTGCTACCACTAGTGCATGTGTTCTCAACATCATATTTCTTGCTATCTTCAGACAATTTTGTCCCTATTCAATAAACTCTTCACGTGAATTTACAAATTACAACACAATGTCCATCAAATGGACTTGAAAAGAAAGTTGGAAAAAGAAGGTGTCACACCCCAAAACCGGAACGGCGGAATCGTTCGGGGGTGGAGGACGTCATGTACAGTATCACAACAATGAATAGTAGTAAACAAGCAACAACATCATCCATTGCATTAATAATATAATTTAATACAAGTGTGTTCTGTCAAGTTTAATAGACACCAAAAATATAAATCAAAATGAAAGATGAGTCTTGAACGAGCTCCATCTTCTCTAAACCTGGCATCGGTACCTGTCTACTGGTGACCTGAGAATACAAGTTATTTTGAAAGAGAGTATCAGCTTTAAAGCTGGTGAGATCATAAGTATTTTAGTGTCTGTGTTTGTAAGTATGTGATGTGTAAGTTTGTAAAAGTTTGTGTATGTTTGTAAAATGTTTGAATCTCCTAGAAAACCCTATGTTTTACTACTAAAAGTAGTTTTCTACCAAGGCATCAAGTATCTGTGTGTGTGTCTCTTGTAAGAGTATGTATTTTCCCAAATCTGACTATCATTTACCAAAAATATAGTTTTTACATTATAGTTCATTGTGTGAAGATCACAAAGTGAATGCAATGGGAAAATAAAATAGTACTGTAGTGTTGTATTAAGTAACTACTGCTGTACTAACTACCTTAAACCATTTTTTATTTAAAGTATTATGTGATCGGCCTGTACCATACTACCGACTAGTAACACGACGATGTAAGACGTCGGAAGGAATGACGTTTGGCACCCGTAGACTTGCAAGTCCCACTGTAGCGAGCAGCAAGGTGTAGGATAGTCAATCCAGTATAGATCTATACACAAACTCAACGCTCTCCATTTAAGGAGATTCTGGATACAAAATGAGCCATGACAGGTGATGCCATGCCCCGTTACGTGGCTCACATAACTGTGTAATGTACTTGTATATGAATTGTATGTACTAGTTGTATTGTATGTTCTCTCTCTGTCTAGTATGTATGTATGTTCTCTCTGTCTTTCATAATAGTATGTTCCCTAGTATAATGTATAGTATGTACTAGTTGTATTGTAATGTATAGTATGTACTAGCTGTATGGTGTGTTCTTTCTCTGTCTAGTATGTATGTATGAACTGACTCCTTGTATGTTTCATTGTTCTAGTAATAGTATTAGTAACTTCCTAAACTATGCCTATTATAGTTTACTAGTAATGTTGTTTGCATGTATGAACATGTTTGTATACCTTTGCTACCCAAAGGTATTGAATAGAAAGAAGGAACTTTTATATCTATATACATATACATAATATATAACTAGGATTCAAACGACCTTCGGACAAACAACCGATACCCTAAGTCCACAACCAAACGAGGAACAGGAGGTAGGGTGAGCTATCAGTCCTAAGTCCTTTCAATCCTACTTATATAACTATATCTATATAGATACACAATTAACAGAATATAAGTTTAAAAGAGTTTAATAAAAGTATTTGACATGTAAAAGAGTTTAGTAAAAGTATTTGACATGTAAAAGAGTTTAGTAAAAGTATTTGACATGTAATAGAGTTTGTAAAAACAGTTTGAAAAGTAAGAATCCACTTGTTTGGTAGTTATTAATCACATGTGATTGATATAATAAGTATAATAGATCAACTTGTATTCCCCCCCCCCCAATAAAAGCATTTAAAAACATTTAAAAGGTTAATTAAGGGGTATGAACTCACCTGTAGTGAGTGGTTTGGATGAACGGATGTTATATGATGCTAAGTGTCAAGTGAAGACTTGAGCACACACAAGGATCCTAGTTAACATATAATAACACATATATGCATCCAATTAGTCATTAAACAACTAATTAAACAAGTTAAGACACCCTAAGACATGAAAAACACTTGATTTAAGTGCTATAAGTACTGAGGATTGCATCTAAGGGTTGTAGGGCCTTGCTTATGAGTTTAAGGTCCAAGGGTAGACTCTTTTGGAGTTTACGGTTTTGGGACCAACTCCCATGGAGTTTACGGTCGTATAAGTCATAAAGAAGCATCCTAACTTCAAGTCTAAGCCTTAGGAAGTGATTGTGGCACCGTTGCACCAACTTATAGAGTTTACGGCCCATGGACCATTTCTCCATGAGTTTACGGCCGTAAACTCTAATGGTTCTTGGTCTTTTTGATGTTTAAGGTCCTAAACACTTCAAGGATGTGTTCTAGACTAGTATCCAAGGCTTGGTAAGGGACTAGGGCTCACAATGGCCCTTTCATTAGGGTTTACGGTTCAAGGACATGCCTTGACCGTAAACACCTTTGATCTTGAGTTTCTTTGTGTTTTCTAGTTGAATAAGAAGTGTAACAAGCCTTATAACACACTAAGGTAAGAGTACTTACAATAGATAAGCTTGTAAGGGTGTTTAAAGTCCAAGAACACTAGTGTGTGTTCTTGGTGGAATGAAGAACACTTGAAGATCTACACAAATGGAATGATTTCATGGATGAAATCATGTAAGATCACTAGATTAAGGAAGATATCAACTAATTAAGGCAAGAAACACTTACAAAGTTGAAGATCAAGAAGGAAAATCGAATGATACTTGAGAGGATTTTGATGTTCTAGCTTTTGAAAATGTGAAAAAGTATAAAAATGACTAAGTGTCATATTTATACTCCTTAGAGTTTACGGCCATAAACACCATGTTTGGGCCGTAAACTCCAAACTCTTGGAGTTTTGAGACTTTATTGATGCACAATAAACCCTAGAGTATCCTCTCTCCTGTTATCTCTTGAAGTACTAAGCTTTAAAACACTCAAACTGACTCCAAAAAGCTTAACAGTTAGCAAAAACAGTTCTGACTTCTATTGAAGTGAATGGTTGTACAAAATAGAAATTTCGGGTTGTCACAGAAGGTACTTTTGAATCTGGTAGTTTGCCTGATAATGTCATATTAGTTGGCCACTCTATAGGTGGTTTTGTTGCTAGAGCTACAGTTGTGCAACCTAATTTGATAAAGTCATCAATTAAAATTGTTCTCACTTTATCAACTCCACATCAGTGAGTTTCTTTGGACTTTCTGATTATCATTGTATCCATAATTGTGATGTAATTTTCTTTACTCTTGCTTCAGGTCACCCCTCATTGCATTTCATCCTTCATTGATCCAAAAAGAATTGAATGGTATAATTTCCATATCATAATTGTAACGCCCGTGTTTCTAGGCTAGGCATAAATATTGACATAATGGTCTAGGTTAACCTTTGTAACTCATTTAGAAGAAATGAAAAGGAATTATGTGAATTTTATGTGAAGTATGTGTTTTATGCTTAATTATTAGGGTTTAATTAATTAAGGATAAAAATGAGCGTCGAAAATAAATATTAGATAAAGCCGATATCTATTAAGAAACTTGTAGTGGGCGTGACAAGGATTACAGATATATAAAGAACGCCGAAATCCGAGTTATAACGAAGAAGTTATGACCTGTCGAAGTTTCGCGATAAACCGGCACGGTGCCGAATGTCGTAAAAAGTGAGTTTTCGATAAACTACTTTTTGGCCTTAGTGAACTAAACGAAACTCGTAGTGTTCGTTAAACCGAGAGTAGGTATAAAAAGAACACCCAAATCTGACTTCGTATGAGGAAGTTGTGATTTTTCGAAGTTTCAGCTTAGCAGTAGACAGCTAAAAACTCGAATTTTAGATCGAGTGATTTTTAGCCGACACGACCTAAACGAGAATCGAAGTTCTCGTCATTAGTAGCACAATGGTAAAAAAGTCTGACGAAAACGGACGTCGGATGAAGAAGTTATGAATTTTTAACAGATTTTCTGTCCCGGTCTGTTAAAAATAATAATTTAAAAATTAAAGTCAAAATTAGCCGACAAAGTCTAGACGGAAGTTGTAGAGCGTAATTTTACCTACGTGTGCATATAAAGAACGTCAAAAATGGAGCTCGTATGCGAAAGTTATGGATTTTAGAAGTTTTGGCGCGAAAACCGAAAAATTTCGCATAGGTGGCTTCGGCCACGTCACCTTCGCTGAATAAGTGCCACGTGTCCGAAATATGCTGAGTCATCCGAAGCCGTGGAAGCATTTGAGGAGTGACACGTGCGCAGCCGAGAGTCTGACGCGTGTGTCTCGGTGGCGAGCCTCGCATCCGACGCGTGTGTACTGACTCATCCGTCCGAGCCTTCACAGGAGCCACGAGCCACCCACCTCGGTCCTGGACTTCGGTCCAATCAGGAACTACCAGCGAAGCCTTCGCATGCGCAGCCACGTGCGAGCCCATGTCCTGCCAGCTTCGGATCTTCGCCACCTGGAGGCTTCTCAGCCGTCCGATCAGAAGCTTCCCCCTATAAATAGAGGGTTGCGAGACTTCCCGGGTAACTTTGGGATTTTGCCCTTTTTCACCCCTAAACTCATATTTTTAGCATTTTGTCCTCCCCCGATGCCCCGAGATCATTTCCAACGCCCGGAACACGTCCCGGAGTGCCCGAGAAGCCCGGGAAATTTATTTTTTCGGTTTCGAAGCCCGACCCTCGCAGAGCCCGGTTTCTCAATAAAACTCCCAGTTTTATTAGAAACGATCGTTTTAGGCAACAAAGTGCTGCCCGGTTATCGTTAAATCAAGTGAGTGTGTAGTTACTTTCACCTTACACATATATATGAAGTATTTTCTTTAAAATACGTGTTATGTGTAATTATATTGATTGTTTAATTAAGGTGACTGTTGAATAGATGTTTTATATAAGTTTTAAACTGTATATATATATATATATATATATATATATATATATATATATATATATATATTTATCTACAAATATGTTGGGTAAAACATGGGTAGATGAATTAGATGATGTGTGATGAAATAAAAGTGATGAGAGGTATCGATGTTTAAGATGATCTAGTCATCTAGCAGAGTATAGACAACGGCCACAGACTATTTTAGATAGTCCAGTGGAACGTTAGTAGACTTGTAATCGGTACGTATGTTTGAACTATATGTTCATAAAGTGTTCTTGAACTATATGTTCATTAGGTGTTTTTGAACTATGTGTTCATCCATTAGTTCTTCTTTTTGACATTATTACGTGTCGGGGTACGGGAGCGTACGGGAGTACTTTATCAGTATTTTCCCTATACTTTTATTTGGAAGAGCTTTGGAGTCTTTGTTCTTTTATGAAGTGATCGGACTAGCTTCATGAGTTAGTGATATAGATCATGAGTTAAATAGTGGGTGTGTGATGAAAGGTGAGTTGGATAGATGAGATGATCAGTGATATAGATCATGAGTTGAGAGTGAGTGGTGAAATATGGGAAAAGCTTTTACCCAAACGTTGGCGTGAGTGGTGCAATATGAGAAAAGCCCTTACCCAACGTTGACCCCCGTCATTCAGCAGAGTAGGGATGACAACCATGGACTGTTCTAGACGGTCTGTGGAACACTAGCAGGCTCGCAACCTGTAGGTGTTAATGGACTAGAGTGTTCATTCGCTGTACTCTATTCCCCTCATGAGTGCCTTTAGGGCATGTATGGCTGGGGAAACCCCTTAGTATGTTCATCAGCTGTATGGAAAACCCATTGACATGTATTGCGGGGGGGAACACCCGTGGGAAATACCGTCGATGAATAAGAGCTATGGACTTAGCATATGGAAAACCCATTGACATGTATTGCGGGGGGGAACTCCCGTGGGAAATACCGTCGATGAATAAGAGCTATGGACTAGCACATGGCGACGATGTGACTTCGTGCCTATTTGACATAAATTGCTGAAGGAAAGCAATGTTGTCACCCCGGTGTTTGTCTTATTTGACATATATTGCAGAGGGAAGCAATGTTGTCACCTTGTTAGTTGTTTTATGTTAGGATGTCTTGTTTGACATAATTTGCTGAGGAAAAGCAATGTTGTCACCCCTTGTGAAAATCCTTAGGCTAGGTCCCTTGTAATAGTTGTTTTAGGGACGTAAAGTGAGGATAATGGGAATGGGTAATTAGGGTTATTTTGATTGATGAAATTAATAAATTTATTGTTGATTGAGAACTTAATAAGTTTATTATTTATTGTGGGCTGAAAACCCTATATGCTCACCAGGCTCCCAAGCCTGACCCACTCAGTTTATTTGTATCACAGGTATCGATACGAAGTTGCTTTACACTGAGAGATTAAAAGAGAAGTAGATCACTAGTGTAAATGAATGTGAGTTTTGTTTATGCTTATGTTTTTGTATTGACAATGACATCCCAATGGTTTAAGTGAATAAAATACATTTCTTCGGAAATGATTTGATAACATATTTATTATGTTTTTCTGGGAACAAATTCCGCAACACTTTTAATCAAATGATTACTCTGAAATTATTTCAAAAGCATAAATTAAACCGGTCTTTTCTGGCCGTGAATTTGTGGATGTCACAATAATGTACAACCTCTGCACATCCACGATTTTGTCTAGATTTGAACTAATATATTGTTCCTTCATCGATCTAATCGAGGTGAATACAGTGCACAAAATGTGGGCATTCACTCGGCTTTGATGGACCTTATAAGCTCGTCTGATGACACTGCCAGGGCTTGGGATACTCGCTCTTACCAACAGGTTTCTTCCTTCATGTGTCTCTAACAATTTGATTCCTGATTTTGATGTTTTGAAATACAATTTTACTGTTTGATATATTCTTTTTTGTCTATATGCTAGTGATATTGGTTCTTATTTGATTTTAAAGGTGGTTTATTGTATATATCTAGGTTTGATTTGGATCTTTTACCTTGATTGTGTCCTGTATTTGTTAAAGTTTCTTTTAGAACCATTTAATATTATTTGATTTGATACTAATCCTAGAAATCTGTTACAAATGACATTTCAGCATCTGAACTTTTATCAACAGAGGCAACATGCAGGTATATAGTATTATTTTATTTGTTTTTGATTATTTGTTTGAAAAATATTTTTTCAAAATAACATTGTTTATGGTAGGCTCCAGAAATAGAAATCACCCCAGCTCCAAATGCAATACTATCTCCAGAACCAATAAACAACCTGGAATGTGCAGGTATATAGGTACTAACTTGGTATCTATACATGTACATATTTTTTTTCACATAGTTGTTTACTAACTTGTATCTATACATGTACATATTTTTGACATACTAACTTGGTGATTCACTTGTGATTCACATATGAATTACATGTGATTCACATGTAATTCACATATGAATCACATATGAATTACATGTGATTCACATGTAGATCACATATGAATTACATGTGATTCACATGTAAATCACATGTGATTCACATATGAATTACATGTGATTCACATATAAATCACATGTAATTCACATATGAATTACATGTGATTCACATATGAATTACATGTGATTCACATGTAAATCACATATGTATTTTTGTGAGTGTTTTTGCATCAATCAGATTCTTTTTAATTTTCTTGTAGATTTGGAAGAAATTGTGGTGAATATTGAAGGGATGGAAAATGATAAATTGAAGAAAATATGGAAATATTGACACGGAGACATGAAAATGCTTTGAAATTCTGTAGCATTTTTTTGTTTTTTATATGTTATATTTCAGAATAAAATACTTATTGTATTGTGTTTATAGATTAATAAATAAAATGAGTTTTCTTATGATTTTCTTACAAATATTATAGTATATGAAATATGCATAAAAACACTGTTTTTCTCCTTGCCGCCAAAATTAAATTTAGAGGGTTTTCTTCCGGCCACGTAATCTACCTCCTAAACGACGCCATGAGCGTCAAAGTCGATTCAACGTACCACTTCGGAACGATTCAACGTACCACTTCGTCGATTCAATCCTCCACGTTACCCACCATCAGAACGATGCAACATACTATTTCGTCGATTCAATCCTCCTTATCATCTTATCTCCTTCAACGCCTCAACTTCTATATAAACCCTTATTCTCTCCTCCCCTTTACACTGCATTTGTTTGTTCCAAGCACACGCCAGAATAGTCAAACGACCATTAAATTGGATCAGCACATCCATTTGGGAGGCACTCTTGTTTCGCAGGTATGTGTTTTTAAAAGTTTGAGTTCTAATTTGGATAAACTTGCTTCTGCTATTCAACAACACACACCCAAATTTTACCCTAATCTGAGAAAGGCAATTTATTTTCAGATTACCATCTAGGGTGTTAATTATTTTCTTCGCGATTGAGTTTCATATCCCTCCTTTTCTCTTTGTCTCTTCTTTAGTCTCCCGATGTCTTCCCTTTAAGAAATAGATTTACGATCCCTGTTTACAGTGAAGTTGGCTTTCCCCTGGAAATTATGGATTATTCTAGGGCTTATACATCGGTAACAAAATCAATGGGTTTTCTGTTTTAGGGCTTCTAAAGATTTTTATTTTAAGTATGTTTCAATCAGAGTATTTATTTCTTCCTTAGGCTTTGGGAGAACCGCTCTCTTAATGTATATGTTGATAAATAATTTAGTTTGTTTTCTGCATAAGGTTTTTGAGCTTCGATCTTTTTCTTATCTATTTTTCAAATGGAAGTGGTGATGTTCAACCAGGGTATGCTCTGAATCATCTACAAAACGATTCTTTCTAGGTGTCAAATCATTTAAAAGGACATGCCAAATAACATATTCCTACATCAAGAAATAACGATATCTTTATTTTTTATGGAAGAGCAATTTATCCCTACTTGATTTGATTGTATTCAATGATTTTCAGTTATTGCCTGTTTTAGATTTGGTGGTTGTAACCTGCTGATTATGTCCATTTACTTGCACAATCTGGTAATTGTTAACGAGTATGTATCCATTTTATAGTTGCACACCAAATGTTTAATAAAGTCTCAAACCATTGCCCAGTATCCATATAGACATAATTACATAAATGAATAGTGAGATATTGTATGACTGTTTACTTGATTTTGGAAAATATATTTATATTTTTCCCATAATAACCATGCACTCTTTTTACTTTACCAATAAAGCAATGGACTTCACTTTTATCCAAAATAGCAAGCTACCTACAATTATAGGCAATGTATTTTATTTTGTAGATGTTGCTGTCATAGGTAAAAATGCAAATACATGTATCAACTACGTCTATATTCTTTGTGCTACCCCTTTATACTCTATATATAAATACATAAGAAAAGATTTTGTAATTTATTTGTATCCATAGTCTCCGGTTCTTGTTTGGTTCTATAGAATACATCATCTTGGCTACTGTTTCTCTCTGCATCAAGGAATCTAAACAATTACCAGCATCATGTCTTAGAAGAGAAAATGTAAATATTTGATAGTAATATAGGTTTAAAGAAAAAGAGGAATTGGATTATAAAAGTGAAAAAGTTGAATATTTAATAGTAAAAGAGATGACTTTTATGTTGCTTGTGGAAAACAGTAATTTACTCAATCAAAGATTTGCCATACACCTGGCTGTTAAAGAGAAAAGATGTATTTTTAATATTTTAATAATAGATTGTTTAAACCAACTGGTGACCCTGAATTACAATTGCAACATGTAGCTCTAAACATAACATGAAACTTTGGTTGTTCTGCTCCTAATACACCGAAATCTGATAATTGTACTTAGACAAATAATAAATTAATTGTAAAAAAATGAAGTCGGTAGATGACATGTAATGTTAAATTGCATATGTCTTGCTCTATATGAAAGTTTGAGTGGCAAAATCTCATGATAGGGAAATTGTCCTTGGTTTCATGGATATCTTACTTATGAAAACTGGAGCATATTAAGCACCATGGTAACCATATCGGTTAGGACTTATAATATATCTTTTATTTTATGTCACAATTGTTGTTGGACATAGTTGAAGGTTATGAATAAGAGTGACGATTCTATTATACATCAGTAAATGCTTTTGATGATATTCCAGTTTGATTCGTTTGATTCCAATACTAAAGAGCGGTTTCATAGTCCTTACCCTTGGAATGAGTGATATAACGTTTCTTTCCCTGTTTTGATTTAGCTTCAATTGCAACCTGTGGATGATTTTGAACTGACACTAGTTCTTGATGACACATGTCTGTAAGCAACTCTTGCCAAATTGATTTCATCTTTAATTTCTTATGCATTTTCCCTTTCATTGCATGAGTGCAAATTTTGTTTTTTGCTTTTGTTATCGATATTTTCATCATATTCATGTCTTCCTGTGATGTTAACAGGAACAAGAATTCGGCTCTGACAGTTTTCATACTTTATAACTTGTTATCAAATGTTCAGCTATTAAATTTTTACTCTTTGGGTTTTTGAATTTAAGTGTAAACCGTATCTACCATCTTCCTTTTTCCGGTTTTTCTGTTTGAAAGTGTTTTGAAGCCTAATGTTCAACCTGAATTGTTTCCATACGGTGATTTTTTGGGAAATCCCATTTATGAGTCAAGACAAGGAGAGAATACGAGGCTACTTTCCATTTCTACCATGAACTACTTTAATTGGTAAATCATCTTTTGTCTGAATCTTTGATTTGGATTTGTTTATTCATATAAAATGTTAACCTAAATGATGCTTAAGTAATAAGTAGTGGACCATGCATGTTAGTCCTTTTCATATTGTCTGTGATTTGGAAATCTTAATCCCGGGAGAGACTAGCCTCTCAAAAGCTAGAAACAGTACCATTGTTTAAAATGCAAAATTTCATAGTAAAACCGGGTGGCAATTTAAGCTTGTGGCCATTACTTTTGGTTAATACAATCTTATTTGGATACTCTCTTTGTTATAGGAACATTCTGAGTACATTGTCTCCACCGAAGACATCTTGAAAAGGCGAAAAACTCACATTATGTTTATTTTATATCATTGTTAACTAAATATAGTTAATCAAATTATAATAATTTATGCTTTTTTTTATCACCATTGCTATTGTTTTTTATATGAATCGAGACTTTGATAAGGTTTGGGTAATTGCTATTAGGATGGAGATTCAGATTACTGTGGGTGTGGGCCACCAATTTGATATTGCCAAAGAATGTATCATGTCATTTTATATGTGCATTTGTAAAGTTAAGATATGTCAAGTTCGACCATATGTTTTGGTTTCCATACATACCCAAGTCCTGGTGGTAATGTTGGTAATCTGAGAGAAGAAGCATAGTAATGGGAGAAAGAATATGCAGCTGTGAAAACCAAAAAAAAAATTATTCATGATCTATTCAATGATCACCAGACCTTGAATTGTAGTTTCAGTTTCAACATATGCTTATGAGAAATTTGTCAATTTTGGTAGGGGTAAGTACAAGCAATAGAAACATAATTTTATTCATTTGTTTATTATAGTGCCCTAGATACATTTCGTATCTACATGCTTCAATTATACTCTGTAGCTATGTCGACATTCATGACGAAGTATCCAAGTTACCTTTTCTTGGGTCGTGCTAAGCACGGGCCTTATACCTACCTTGTATGTATGTGTATATATATATATATATATATATATATATATATATAAAAGAAAATCCCAAACAGTGGATTCCAAGCTCACCCCTCTTCGTTGCAGTGCCATAGCGTATGGAAGCATGTCCATTCTAGCTCTCCAAATGAAACACATAACTTTATTTGGAACCTCTTGCAGCCAATTACGTCCACCAAATTTGCCACCTTTTCCTCTTTCGGAGTTAAATGCGTCTTTTGACTAGTAAAGTATTCCAAAGAGAAAAATATGATACGATAGCAGCTGAGTCACAAAATTATTTTAAATTTATGATATTGTGTCAGGTTATTACATCCTTTTTCCCTTTATTTATACTTGTTTTTCTAATTATTTTTTTATATATTTTTTACCATCATCATTTAAAACTAGAAAACTACACCAGTGATATAAACCATGGATAAGATAAAAGTCATAGCAAATGCAGAAGTTAAACCAAATAAACAACACAATTTAGCAATGGCAACGATTTAGAAAAATATGAAATAATAATTTACTTTATTTGAATTATAACTCATCTTTGGGTAAACCAAATAAACAACACAATTTAGCAATGGCAACGATTTAGAAAAATATGAAATAATAATTTACTTTATTTGAATTATAACTCATCTTTGGGGATAGTATCGTTGGAGGAAGTAGCGATCTTTTTCTTGTCTTCTTCTTCATAAAGTTTTTTCAGAAGATCGGCAAACGGAGGATCTCCGGGTCTTCGAAAAAACTGATCCCCCATCTTAATCTCGTATGCTTCGGGTTGATCCAATAAAAAATCTTTAAACTAAAAACACACAAAAAAATGAGTATAACCATGAAAATTTCCTATTAATTTCAATATTCTTTTTCTTGTATTCATTGAATTGAAAAAGAAAAAAGTGCAAGCAGTTACTTAGCAATGAATGTGAGAGTATAAAGGGAAATGGAAATGGAAGTAACCTCTAAAGTGTTTTGGGCATTTTGTAATGTGAACATTACAGTGGAAAGATCAAATCCCATGAAAATGACTCCAATTGCTCCGGTTCTTGCAAGTTGGGTCCATTTCATTGCAATATCAGATACTATATCCTGTAAAAATTATCAAGAAATTATTAAAAATGCTTAAAACTATTTTTGAAGGATAAATAATATAAGTGAAGTTTGTTATTTGTAATCCCTCCATGAACAACATAAATCCATTTGTGACTTGATCATCTTTCTCTTAAAACACACATCATGTTTACATCGAGTCATGGAACCCATAACTATTCAAATTGATTATCCGTTAGATAACTTCCTCTTTTCTACTGTCAAATGAATCGTATTTTTAAGATGGAATGGATATATCGTCATCAATAGCGCTACAATATAGATCCAAAATGGAAAGCACGTAGTATATAAAGATAGAATACCAAAATTAAGAATCAGATTCAGATCTGATTTAGACATCCTAGACGTACAATTTAATTTCTATCACTACCATTTTGTCTGTGATCACCATTTTTTCATTCAATAAAAACTTCAAAATGAAATGATAAAATTTAGTGTAATTAGAATCGATCCGTATAGGTTTTTTGCAATCATCGAAAAAAACAACTAATGAAAAATGCAGTTGGACAAATTTCAAACAGAATCGGAAGAAGAATCAAGTTACCGGAGTACGATGATCAGTTAACCGAAGCTTGACGAAGCCATACGCCTGTCCAACCTGTCGTTTCAGAACCTCGTTCTGCATCTGACTAAAATCCATATCGGAAAAATTCTCCGGCGGCGGATCAAACTCTTCCACCGTCATTTTCTTCTTTTGTCCCCATTCTATCCACGCCTCATCCTCCTCGTTGTCCTCCACGTCATCGAGGTCGTCGGAAATGTGAACTCGCTTCTTCGTCCCGCCGACGCTGACGCCACTGTTACCGAAGACAATCAGAAGGACAATGAAAAACGGTAGAAGGAAATTGGCCAAAGAAAACAAAACCGTTGTCGCCGATCTGCTATGAAGCGCCATTGATCATACTTTGCACAAGTGGTGAATGTTAGCGTTACGTTGTAACTGATAAGCCATGTAAGATTACATAAATATCCTTTTTCAGTAAATAATAATTCGAAAAAACATCTCATTAAAATCAATCAAAAATAATTGGGTAATGTTTTATAGAATGTAAAAAATCAGAATTATATAGCACTTTATAGTAAGTTAAAAGATTCATGTGTTGTTTGTGAACATATATTGTTATCGATGATTCTTTGCTAAACGAATGCTCATTGTTGTTGTGCATAGTTAATATTATATAAGAGAGAATAAAAAGCTGCATATAGAAACATAAACACCATTGCTTCAAGTTCATCAAACACATCCTCTAAACATATGAAGAACTATTGATAACATGGTGGTGTTTAAGATGAAGAAAAATCACAAACTACATACCTATCACAAACGATAGTGACTGTAGCGGCGAAAGTGCAGCATCAGAGCAAGACGATGGTGCAGAGGTCGGTGACGAAGATGCAGAAGCGCAGATGGGGACGATGGTGCAGAAAAATGAAAGAGTGATCATGGAGCAGTTGCGATTGAATGTTATGTCACACGATTTCTATGATTTTGGCACGTGATTTTGGGAATTAGATTTGGACCAAATCCATTTTGCTTAAATATTCTAAACAACTTTTTTTTAAAATTTTGCCTATTATTTATTTAGATTAAAATCGTGTACAGTTAGTAGCAAATTTTGTCAACGCTTAGCTATGTACAAATTACATATCTCTACTCTTGTAATGAATTTTTCATAGTCTTTTGGGTATTAATTATTATATATTAACTAGGTTATAACCCGTGGCACAAAATAAAATGACATAAAAACTATTAAAATCGTAATCATTAATCTTAAAGCTACAAACAATTATTTTTATATAATATCGGATGTTATGTTGGTATGTCATACATTGTTATTTTCAATTAAACCTTGTATTAGTGTTATAATATTTTATTGTATTTGACTATTTGTCGCAATATTCCACCCATGTTAGATAAGAAGTCGAATGGATAGAATATTGATAGCTAGTTTTTTTGTTAATGTGTCCATTTCCAAAATGTTTAATTTTAAACTTCTCTTTAATTAAAAAAAATGCCAATTGGAATATTAAAGGCTTAATAGTTTTCGTACGACTCGAACATACAACCCTATGAAAATCCGTTATGTAGTTCAAAGTTCAAACACAAGGTTAATTGGAAGAGTTCATGAAATGTAATGTGTATGCTAAAATAACTTTCATGTTAAATATTCAATAAGAATGAATAAATATTGGTAGTTATATTAAATAATAAATAAATGTTATTCAAACTAACAAAAGCGATAGCTATGAATCATAAATTTTCAAATACGTTTTTACAAACAACATTGATAATTAATTAATTAATTGGTAAATTTATCGTCCATATCTAAAACTAATTACTTTAATCATTCTTTATTTTCAAATTTCAATAAGACACCATACTTTCGTTTTCTTTTAAAAAAACATAGTTTTGTTTTGACAATTTGTTTCATTTTATAGAATAGTTTCGGTTTGGAAACATATTTCAAGTTTCGCACATACATGTTCGGCAAAATGCTACCACAATTTTAAGCATAATTAAATTAGTAGAATTATTTAAAAAATCTTGTACTTATATATTTTGTTATTTAAATAAAAAATAATTCCAATTAAAAGAAAGAGGTTGATCTTTATTAAATGGTGAATAAATGCTATTTAAAACTGGTATTATGTACATATATTGTTGTACTTTCATATCAACTAGATTATGACCCGCGTTAAACGCGGGGAACGCATACATAAAATACAAATGTATATAGATATTGCAAAATAATTATAAAAAAACCAGGGTTATTGGTATTATTGAAATGTGTAAAAAAATATATTGAAATCGGTAAATATATATATAGTCGTTGAAGGACCTCTTTATAGATGGTAATCCAGTTAGAACATCTTTTTCTAAAAGATCAAGAAATTGACAATTTATTAGAATCTTATCACATTGATAAAAGTCATAACAAAGTGCAATAGATTGAATCGATTGTTACTTGAAAATATAAATTGACAATTTATTTGTATAACATAATTGTCTATACAATTGATGATGCATTATATGGTGTCAAATAAACAATAGTTACTTGAAAATATAAATATGATGCTATGATTAGATAAAATTATAAGTATGTTGCTTTTACTGGTTCATAAGAAAAGTATGTTTCTATTATTTTTTAAAAAGTTAAGCATGCTTTTATTTTTTGTAACAATAGATAACTTCAATGCTATTTATTGGATTAAAATGTAAATATGTTGCTATTATTGGTTGAAAAGAAAAATATGTTGCTATTGTTTGGTAAAAAGACAAGAATGTTATTATTTGTAAAAAAGATAAGTTCATTTTTGTTATTGGATTGAAAGGTAATTATTTTGCTATTTTTTTTTTTGAAAGTTAACTATGATGCGACACACCTTCGATTGGTTAGAAATAGATTAAGTCACTCACAAAAAAGGTCATCTCTTGTATACACATAAAAAATATTATACAATCGAATCTCAAAATATTAAACATATCGAGTTCTAAAATATAATATGTTCATCTCTTGTATACACATAAAAAATATTATACAATCAAATCTCAAAATATTAAACATATCGAGTTCTAAAATATAATATGTTTTTCTGTACAATAGATTTCATATTAACTTTTAATGTAAAACCTACATAAAAATCCAACGTAAATTTATTTAATCTTTATTGAAATACTGAAACAAAAACACTATAATTTAGCTATGGCAAATCATAAACATAATTTTTCCCAAGAAACGTGGTTCAAAACAACCAAAAAACCCCATCTTCCATAATAATCTTGTTTATGCTACCTCTGAAATCTTACATCCCGTTACCTACAACATCCAAGAACACAGGGTCACTCATCAATATAACCATAGGCTGCATTAGGTTTATTATGCACCGATTCAACTATTGCCCGAACTTCTACAATTCTATGTGCAATGGTTGTCATTTAATGAAGGCACGATTTTTAGCTCTAAATTTCAACATAATCAGACTTCATCATGTTAGTAATTCGTTTAATCAATACTTAATTAAGTTGAAGCAAAACCACACTTATGGTAAGCAACCTTGAAAACCGAAATTATTGGAATTTATGCTACAAGGTCATTTTTTACTAAAATATTTATTATTCTTCTCCTTCGTAGCTTCCATTTATTGATGCTCTTCCTCATTTTACACTACATTAAAACAAATTCATTAAAACGATTATATTAATATAAAACAAAAGACCAAGAAACTAACAATTCTAAGGAGGAAAGGTAATGGCATGTCACCTAATGCCCTTTTTCAAGAGAGATCGAATGGAAAAAAAATCTAGGGCTTGTATTTTGATGTAAAAAAAATAGAACAATCAGCAACACCCAACACAGGAGATTTGGAGGATAAAACTTGTTAGAAGGAGATCTGAAAAATAAAACCAACAGGCCTTCAAAAAAAAGATCAAATTAGAAATATTATAAACTTTAATTAAGAGATAAGAGAAAATGATAAACTTGGTCCCTATGGTACATTATTCTTTCTAAGTTTTGGTTGAAGGGTAAAATGGTCATTATCAAGTTTTGACAGCTAGACTAATATCTTCCACTCTTGATGTCAAACTAATGTTAATATCAAAATTCTTATGAAAACATTAATCATTCTTTGGGTATAATTTTTTCCATGCGATTGATTATTTATCATTTACTCATGCTAATTTAGGATAATTTTAATTAGTTTAAGGCAGTGAAAGAAAAACTAACCTTAAAAAGCAATTGAAGACCAAGACTTTCATCTGTACAGTTCTCATAATCTAGTCTGTAAAAGAAAAACAGAATGATTTCAATTGCATACAAATGTTTCTACCTTTGTTGAATAATTATTACTTGTAATTTTTATTCAGAAAACACAAAAACAACATAAATTTAATTAAAGGGAGAATTGATAATAGAAGTTACTTACGATGTGAATAAAGTAAGAGTATGAGTATTGTTATCAGAGCTCGTCAGAAACCACGAACCATCCGACCCACCTATAGAAACAACATTCATCACCACAAGCAACGCACAAACAATGAGCATTGAACTTAAGAATAGATGACAATTTTACCATTTAACGCCCTTGAGGAAGTTATTAGGATTTTGAGACAATGCACACAAAAATTAGCATATGCAAACATCATTGTTGGTTATTATGTTAATCAAGAACCACAATCATGGTTTTTACCATGAAGTAATATATATATATGGTAACAAATATGCAGTTGGGTCATTTAGTAATAATAATGCCATTAACAAATATGCAGTTGGGTCAGTGCTGTAATTAGCTGAAATATTGCTCATACGTCCCTTAGTACATGTTCATAAATATGCAAAATTTCAAAATTAAAACTCAACACAGATGCAATTGTGAGAAAGCAAAATAGATACGGAGAATAAGGGACATATGAAATTGTAAATTGTAAAATAAATACAGCGAATAAGGGAGAAGGGTAACGTAACTGGAAAATAGTTATTAATGTAAAAAAATTGATCAAACTTGCCTTCTTAGTTCATCTTGTAGCAAATAAAACTTGTTATAGTTCGTTTATTCAATTTTATTGATTTAAGCACTCTATTTTTATCTCAAACATCATACCCTGAATCAATCAATTTATGAAGCAATTCAAACGGGACTTCGGATGTATCCTATTGATCCATACAATGAAATTTTAGCACCGTTTAAGATGGTTCCTATGTAATAAAAAAATTAGATAAACTCCATCTGTAACAAAAATTACAGAAATGGTTCAACATCACTCTTTATACCATCCTACTTTCCCTTGCTTCAACCGTTGGACATTTTTTTAATGTAAGACTCTTTATAGCATTATTTTTTTAGCATGTATAAAACAATTTTTCAAGTGGTAGCTATAATGCTATAATTTTCAAGTGGCAGCAAAAGAGTCTTTATAACATCCTACTTTGCCTTGTTTCCACTGTTGAAAATTATGACCAATTTGCCTTCCTGTTTCAAACTGCTCAAATTTATGACCATTTCATCCAGTTACCTATTTTTTGTTGAGATCATTTTGTAAAAGGAAAAAAATACAAATAAGAACATCGTACTTTATAAAGAAATAACACCAAAAAAATGTTGGATACATAACAACCTACTTTATTTCCACCGAATATGGTTTAAAAGCAGAGTTCAAGGCTGCCAATGCTGAAGCACTTTAAGTTGGTTCACCACCCTTTATCCCTGTCACAATTAAAAAAATTTAAACCTTTTTATATTTATGCCCATTACGGTATATATAATTCTTAAATGTCATAAATGTGATAGAAATAATTCATGAATAGCTAAATGCAAGAATAACAACTTATTTCAATTATTTGTTTATTTACCAACTTGCATTTATAGTATGATATTTTAATGAACACATTAAAGAAAGTACTTTGATAATTTTTTATTTTTCAAAGT